CATGTGGGGCCCTCCAGAAGCTTCTTCCTTAGCTTCCAAGTTGACTTTGATCCTTATCTGTAGGAAAAAATCTCCGAAAAGTTTCGGGACATTTTGATCTTTTCTGATATTGATTTTCTTTAAAAAAACATGGCAGAAAACAGGAACTGGCACTAGGCACTAAGTTAATAGGTTAGTCCCCAAAAATGATATAAAAATGTATAAAATGATATTAGAAACATCCCAGAATAATAATATCATAGCATGGAAGAAGCAGAAATAATAGATACGTTGGAGACGTATCATGGCGCTCCTCAGGTGCGTTTGCGGGTCTTCCGAGGAGTGCGGCGGATGGAGCGAAACACTTTGCATCTCGGGAAGGCGACACCGAACATAGGCTGTTTTGGTCACAGTTCTAGGCGCCCGAGAACCCTCCGCTCCTGAGCAATCATATGAAGCAGCGGATGGAGTTGCACCGGATGTGGGAGCCGGCCATGAAGGACCTTTGTATCCGACTGTGGCCTTCAGAACCGTTGTCGAGCAGCTACTTTGGCTTGGTGCAAAAGTTGCATGACGCCGCGCCTCAGGTTGATGCCGTGAAGCAGTCCATATGCATTGAGGGAGCCCAAATGTCCTTCACAAGGACCATGATGCACGAGCCGAAGATCAAGCCAGTCGAGACGGCCACCTGACCCCGCCCCCTGGGAAGTAGCACAAGCGCCCCGAGCAATACTTTCTTGTCGTGATGGACGGTGCTCGCGCAATAGAGGCCCAGTGTTCAAAAGATGTAATGTATGAATGAACATGCACCAGATGGCAGTCCAACCTTTTATGCCTCTGCAATCCGGTTTCTTTGTTTGGTTTATCATATGTTGTGTTTTTTTTATTTTGACTCTTGTCTGGCCATTTTTGTCTGCAAGTTATCAGTCGTCAACTTCAGCCCCCATGTAGATGCTACAAGGGGTGTTTCAACCTCTGCACTGCAAACCTTAGCCCATGTTTTGGTGCCTGAAGGCGGTAGTGTGTGAGGGAAACCAGGCAGTTAGACCATGTGGATTTAGTTCTTTCACTTAGCGATAGGAGCTTGACAGCGGGGGCTAGTGACCAGTGGTTCGCGATGTTCGGACGAGCCGAGGTGGGAACCATAATCACCTGGTTTGCGTGAGGGCAAAACCTTTGTATAACACGGCGTAACCTCCGCTGATCTTTAGTTTAACACTTGTTGGATCGCTGACCAGTTCTCGCTTATTATGACAATCAGTTTTCGGCTTTCTCCGCTTAGGTACTTAACCATGCTAGGTAGAAGTACAATCGCTGCGGTTCTCCCTTTACCCCTTAGCCGAACGTGCGGAACGTAGGAGGGAAAGTACAGGAGCCGGGCAACTCAACTATTGACCCAAGACATAATTCGAAACCGATTCATATAATGCAATATCCGAGACGTCGAACACTTTAAAAGAGAAAATGGTGCTGGACAGATGTGTAGGGCGAGATTATAACCGAGCCCCCAGTCTATTAGCCGGTCACATAGAAAAAGGGTATGCACCAAAGTGGCGTGCTTCGGCGTCGAAGAGCGGAAAAGCTATATGCAATGTGAAAGATTGCGATGGGACTGAAAATAAGGTAGTCTTAATTTCCTTTGAGCTCGAGATGTCTAACCGTACAATCTGAACTGCCAAAGCAAATACTTTATGAAAATGGATAAATTTTACAGAGAAAAGGTTTACACAGGGCCTTAATACATGGTTTGACGTCCCTACTATGACATGATGCACGTCTGTGCCTTTGCTCTTTAGGGGAGGAAGAACTGCTCGGAAATTATCATAGGTATAAGAAGATCACCAGAGCTGATCAGGTTTCAGGGAGCCAGGAAGAGCGTGTTCCTGAGCTCGGCTCGGAGGGCCTGGACGTCGTCATTGGGGAGCACCACCATGATGACGCGGCCACGCCCGCTGGCGTCGGACTGCACCAGCACGGCACCCCCCTGACCGACGCCGTCCATGCCGTACTCCACGTGTGCGGGCCTCTGCCCCATGATCTCCAGCCCGTACAGGTCGACCTGCTCCATGTCCACGAACGTTAGATTGGCGCCGTAGATGACCACGTCCCCCGGGAAGCCGACCACCGTGGCGGTCTCGTCGACCAGATCCTTGGCCAGCAGCGCAGCCAGCTCGGACACGTCCGTGTTGGCCGGCGCAGAGCCCGCCTCCACGTACCCGACATTTTGCTCGTTGGCCAGGGAGTAACCGCTCCAGGCGGACATGTCGGTCTTCACCACCGTCACCGTCTTCACCTCGTCGGTGGCCCTGATCTTGGCCACCGTCTGCCATAGGAGCGCCGACATGAGCTCGAAGACGCCGCCGGGAGCCGCTGGCTCCTGCTGCCGCAGCCTCTCGAGCATCGTTTCGGTAACGTGGAAGGAGTAGCACGTCATGTCGACGCTGGCGGGGACCAGCCAGTGGTCTTGGATGGGTCCGACCGGCTTGACCGAGCGCGGCGCGACCGCGGCAGGCGCACGGTTTCTCTCTCGCGGCTCGTTGATGGGGCTCATGGTGACGGCGACTGGCTTCTTGCCGCCGAGTATCTGTGCCCAGCGGTTGAAGCAGGTCGTCGCCGACGCCACGTCGCCCATGAGGTGCGCCCAGCTGAACCCCAGCGCCATCGCTCCACATTTGAAGTTGGTGACCTGCGATCATTCGAGCTCAATCACCTTTGTCATTACGTACGTACAACTTTCAGTCACTACTATACTACGTACAAACATGTAACAGATCGAGCAGCGGGACGGTTAGTCTACCTGGACGAAGAGCAGCGGCGAGAAGGAGAGCTCCGGGCCGAGCACGTGGTGGTAGCAGAGCTGCTTCACGCGATCGACGGCGTCGTCGCGGAGCAAGTCGTCGAGCGCGCGGTCGCACTGGGCCTCTACGATGCGGATGCCACAGTCGTTGCACTTGACGTATGGGCGGCGCGAGGCATCGTCGGCTTCGTCGGCATGGCGGCGGACGCGGCCGGCCAAAGGGTAGTAGGCGTCAAGCCAGGCGAACATGGGCTCCTTGAGCACCATGGCGGTGACCCCCGCGGAGTAGTAGTACACCCCGCGTAGGTAGTGCAGCCGGAACGCCAGGTCCGCGTCCGCCAGCTCGTAGCTGCCCACCTCCGTCACCGAGCTGGGCACCACCGTCGACACCCGGTGCCCGTGCACCGCCGCTGATGCTGCCTCCGACCCCATGCCGTTTGCGACTTCTTTGGCCCGGTGGGACGCGTGTACTACTGGTGCCCCCTTTACTCACCGGTGGCGGTGCTCAGCACGGGCTGGGGTTTAAATAGAGTTTTTTCTTTTCTTTTTTTGCTTATAATATATGGGGTTTAAATAGAGTTGGGTGGTGAACGAAAGGCATGGAGGGATCCATGGATGCTAGGTATGGAAATACAAACATTCTTGTACATGCTGTATTATGTGTTTGCTTTTGTTTAATTCTATAAAATCGCAGTAGTAGGATCCTAGTTACTCACGAAAATGAACCTCCATAATTGACAGCCTATACTTTTTTTTTTGCGAATAGTGACAACCTATACATTGGAGCCTGGAATTTTCTTTACAAGTTTTAGAATGGTCTCTTCTTTACAAGCTAGGTTTATTAGGGTGCGTCTATGTCTCTGTCAACTTGGTTAGGTCTAGGTCGATTCACAAATTGGAGTTGGGCACCTGCATGCGTTGAAGCCGCAAGCTGGCAGGCGAGGGGGTTGGGGGAGTTGGGAATTGAACTGGCCGGACCACAGAGCATTCAACCCACGGGATCGAGTGAGCAGACGTAGTGCCTGTCCATCCGATCAACGTGTTATAATGCATGAGAACTGCACCGCAGCAGCTACGTAGTTGCGTGTCTCAACCACGAGAGGAGACCACTCAACAACGAGCAATGATAGACCCACGTACAGTTACGTGAGGCTTTTACGTAATGGCTGATTTGGACGTAATTAATTGGTTTAGGATTAGTGGGTAGGGCCCACCTTGGTTGAAAACAGGGGGGAGACGAGTATTTATGGAAGGGTAAGTAAGATTTCGTACGATCTTTTCGCAGGTGTAGAATTGTCGCTCAACAACACAGCATTTTGCATTTCATCCAACCTGAGAACATGCATGTCCAGGGTGTTAGATTTTATGGGCTTCAGCCGAGTAAATTTTGTATCTCAGCGCCGTAAAATATACTGCTTATATGTTATCATCAAATTTATGTTTTACCAAAAAGGTTGCAATTCTACTTACACGCACCGAGATCTAGAAAAGCCCTCTTGGTTGCAGGAAATGACGGAACTCGTGGGCGAGTTCGCCCAGTGATAGCCGGCTTAGTAACTAGAGACTTGCTCCTCCGAAGAGTACGTAAAGAAACTTGC